GGAATAAGCTCACCAAGATCCCGTATATCGGCCTTCAGCCGAACCTTGTCACCCTCAACGTGTCCGAGAATTCGATCACCTCGGTCGATACCGAGGACCTGGCGGCGTTCTGCTCACTGAAGTCGCTCGATCTCTCGCGGAACATAATCAAGTTCAACAGCGCTGCGAATAATTGCGAATGCGAAATGTTGAATGCCTGGGTGAAGCAACGTCAGATCAACATGAAGCCTAATTTTTTCAATTGCGCCAACTCGAACGTCAAAACCGAGGATTGCACCAATGTGCCATTCAGCAATCGAACGTACGAATTGTATAACCAGTGTTCGACCATTATACAGCTGAAAGTGGAGACTGAAAAGGCCCGCTCAATCTGGGTGCTGGTAGTCTCGTGCGTTTCAGGATTCCTCTTAATCGTCTTCACGGTGCTGTGCTGCGTGCACAAGCGGAATCGCAGGCGACGCAGAAAGCAAAAAGAACAACAGCAATTAGCGGCGAACAATGCCAACACTGAGTTACTGAATAGCAATTTGAAAACTGGTAATTCGTGAAATAATCGCCGAAACGTACAACAATAAAAATTGTAGAGAATCCTGTGTCGATGCCGAGAGAAGTACAGCTTTATACGAACCGCGAAGAAACGAAAGTTGAGGAGTTATCGACTTTGAAAAAAAAAAATTAACGATGTTTAAAGTATTTGAGATACCTGTTGGTATTTATTGAGAGTTTAATCAATGGATTCAGAGAGAGAATTTAATTGGATATATCGACAGATACGTGCCTAACAGTTTGTATCTGATCATTAATATACATTTACATTCGCATGTTCAATAAATGTGAGATTATAGTTTAAATTCTTCTGGCGTGACTGCCATTTTCGAAAATATTACAAGTTTTCAGAAGAAGTGAGATATACACTAGCCTCATACAGCATGAACAATATAATACAAATTCGTTACCATCCAAGATATCGAGCGAAATGTGATTAGATTTTACTTAAGTATTAGATTACTTAAGACTCCGAAGAGAAGCGCAGCCCATCGAAAGTAACCAACAGAACTTCGTGAAGACTATGCTTACAAGATATAAACGCGTTAACTTATAAAATGTGTAAATGTTCTATATTGTGTTCACATATATATATATATATATAATAGTTACAATATATACATATAAGATCTATGTGAATGTGATGGATTTTCAAGAACTCTGCGTGTTTTGAACGAATATATTCATCTCATTATACTCTTTGCGATAGAAACTACCGATTTTGATTTTGATCGAACATATCTTGGAAACCGGTCGCGCTCATTATCGTGCTTTTGTCTATGTAATAGCAATGCGAAGGGTAACATTTATTGCACGGTACTTAACGAAGGGTTTTCTTTCAAAGGATATTGCAACATCAAAGTAGATTCTTTTATCCAAGTATTAATTATATGATGTTGATTTTATTTTTTGTCAGAATCTTCTCTCTTTTTCTCACTTATTTTACAATTTTGTATAATGGCATTTTTATTTATTTCTTATGTAAGCTAAGAATAGGTAAGATTTTATGTGTATTTCTTTATAAAAATATATAGTGTATACAACATTACATCGTAGTAGACTAACAAAATTTATGCAATCTTATTTATTGAAATTAGTTTTTTTCTTTCTGTTTTTCTGAAACATTTCCATTATGTGGATACATAGGTACGTTACCGTAATTATTATATTTAAAGAATAAAGTTAAGTTATATGTGTAATTCGCACTTAAAATATATACTTCATAATATATATAATAACATATTATAGTTAATTATTATGCTATAGTTGTAATATTACGAAACTATATATATGTATATAAATTATGAAGTATATGTATACTTGCCTCATATCATATATATACAGGGTGTCTCAGAAATAAATTCGTAGAACGGCCCACAGTCCCACACTCGACAGCGGCGGCGGCGCTGTCGATTGTGGGCCGTTCTATGAATTTGCGCGGCGCGGCTTCACCGCACATTGGCTTAGACGTTTCCTTTTTTAATTCGAAAACTACAGAGAATATCTCAAAATGGTATCAGACTTTTTTATTCCCCTTGACCCATTCTACTCTCCTAATGCGGCTCTGACCTTATTTCTGAGACACCCTGTACATGTATATACAGAGTGGCATCAAATTTCGGCCCCACCCGTCCTGAGCAGGTAGAGCGGACTAAACTGAGTCGAAAAGTCTTCTACAGTTAAAGATAGTCGAATAAGCGCGTCCGCTCGATCAATTGGCTGCGTTCAGCAGAGAAAGCAGCTTTGCAACTGTTGTAAAATTCTTGAATATGATTGGTTTATACATTTAGATCCAACGAGGAACTAAGGGCAAGACCAATCATATTAAAGAATTTTACAAGTTGCAAAGCTGCTTTCTCTGCTGAACGCAACCATTATTGCCGAAGATACGGCCCACCGATCGTACGGCGCGCGGGTCACGAGAAGCGGGGATGGCCTAGCCGCACCGTTCGAGCTCGGAAGCTCATAATGATAGACCTGTTTTTTTTTTTGCTGAACTTTTGTACTAGTTCTCTCCAGCAGGAAAGAAGAGGAAGAAAGATGAACTGGTGCAAAAGTTTGGTCAGAAAGAACAACCCTGATGTGCGGAGTGCTTGCACCACTCCCCGCGCGCCGTGTGATCGGTGGGTCGTACCTTCGGCAATAATAGATCGGGCGGACGCGCGTATTCGGCTATCTTTAAACGTTAATATCTCGTTAACTAGTGCGAGCATTGAAAAATAGTAGAGGACTTTTCGACTCAGTTTAGTCTGCTCTACCTGCTCAGGGTGGGGCCAAAATTTGGAGCCACCTTGTATATTGGTGCAAAGAGCCGCAATCCATTTATAGAAAATAAAATACTACAGATTCGTATCATGAATGCGAAATGTTGCCCAGCTTAGTTCCTAATATTTATTTCATACGGGTGCAGAGATGATCATTTTTTATTTCATCATAATATCGTAAAGCGAATAGAATAATCGTACCATCGAAATAACGCAACATTACGTGAATGTGACGCGCGCGTTACGATATGTCAAAGAACTTTTATACTAATTTCCATGTACCTTTTAATATATGCGAAGAACCTTTGTATATGTATTGTATGTACAGAGATATTAATAAAACTCCAATAAAATAATCTTCAACGAAATTTAATCTTTAAAAATCCAAACTATTTTCAGATTTTTCTCAAGATAGCACATATTTAAGATTTTTAACTCGAAGAAAAACTGAAGGAATAGTAAAAAAAATCTATTCGATTTGTGAAAGTTAATGACTTATATATGTTTAACGAGATACAAATCTTTTTATATATAAATATCTTTATACGTTTATCTAAATTTTTCGAAATTCAGCGAATCAAATTTTTAATAAAAAAGTACACTCAATTTTTTTATTCTAAGGAATTGAGCTATATCCTTATTCTAAGATTTTTTCCTTCAATCCTTTTATTTCAATAACATACCAATAAAAATTATTTCACGCTCTGTCTCATTTAAATAGTAAAAGATGCAAGAGATGCAAGAGAAAATCTTAATTGGGAGGAAATAAATAATTAAAAAAGGGGAAATAGTTTATTTGGAATAGAAATTTTTAAAATGGAGGAAATTAACTGCATTATACAAAAACTGACGAAACAAGACAATTTTATTGGCAGAATACATTTTTAAATTGATGAATTTTATTACAAAATTGAACTAACATTGAAAATATCTATCGATTCTTAATAATTCACGTGAAAGTGCATCTTTTCAATATAATAAAATAGTGTTCTTATATAAAGAGAAGGAAATTTTTCCCTATAAACCGGCTACAAGTACTTAACCGATTTATGTAGATAAATACGAACAGCTTACCTGTTTAATTTTTTCAATTCTTTTAATGCTATCAAAAAACTTATCCTAATTTAACGTTCACCTAAAAACAGCTGCTGTCATTATCATGAAAAATAAGAATCACGAGTACATTTGTATGTTAATTTGGGATTTTATTATTAGTATAAATGATATAAAGCTGAATACAAGTAAGAAAAATCATGTTGAATGCACAGGTGGGCGCGATTGTAGGAACAAATACGTTTCCTCTACTTTCCACAAAATTATTCTGTAGAAAGATCAACTGAACATTAGCAATATTTGTGCAATTTGATGCACAATTTCGCGGCTTATCACGGCCGAAGAATACGCTCCTTCATTGACATATATAAATATACAGCGTTTGGTTAAATATCATTCAATTGGAAAATTGAAATAATATTCAACCGAACGTTTAATCGAGCGTTTTCTTCGGCGTGTAGTAAGAGGTGAAACTGTCCATCTGATTGACAGTCATACATCTATCATATTTAGCTTTCCCACAGTCTCACATTATTATCGTGCTTAAAAGAACAAGTACTGGTAACCCAATCGCTTTTTTAAATGTTTCCCTATTGGACGAAATGAACAAACATAAACATAAATAGTTATTACAAATTAAGAAATTAATAATTAAAACTCGAAGCATCGCTACTTCGATACAATTTGATGAGAGCACAGACAGATGCATAATGATGGTAACCGTGAATTTGTAACGTAGCATACAGCATGGAGAGAAAGAAGTTTGCTGAATACAAACATACATTAATACCGTCTTTACTCGTTAATCATTTTATGGCTGTGGGTTTAACAGAATATAATAGCATAGTTCCTCTTTTTCTTATTTCATTGTAATGAATAGAGATTGATAAATGCAAAAAAAAAAAACGTATTTCATTCACATCACGAAACCCATTTGTTAAGTTTGATTTGAACTCTTGTCGGTCCAAATATATTATACAATATCTTCTCATATATGTATACATATATAATATATATATATATATATAATTCTATTACATAAATGTAAGGAAAGTTATATAAATGTTCAACTGCAATATTCAACTCGAAGAGAAAAAGAATAAAAATAGAAAGTATGAAGATTATTGCTACTTTTATTCTTCTTCTCTTAGAAGTGAATATCAGACAAATGATCTCTTGTATTATATCTCATATATCTCTGACATTGTACTCTAAATTAATTTCTTTGTGTTAATGGCATAATCTTTTTATTTCCACCATTTCTAAACGGTGCTTATGGAATAAAGCCGCATTATCATACAAGCTTTTAAAATCTTTTGATATTCTTAAATTTATGATAAATTTATGTTCACATAATGTGGCAACGTTCTTCACCTTGGGGATCGCTCTGAAACATAAAACATATGTATATCTTATTAGCAAAAAGAAATGAAAGAAATATAAAATAATTGAGTAATCACCGCGGACCCCAATTTGCTTAATCCACTGCGTGAATATCGGCATGTCCGTTTAGTCACAGATATAAGCAAATAATGAATCTTATTGTTATATTCACACGATGAAAAAGATATGCATATGCAGACGATGTATGTGATATATCTCTCGGAAACATTACTTTTTCTTTACATCTTTTACATACACTGATCTATATTATTGTATTAATATATGTGCAGTAATGTAGAATACATATAAATATGCTAAATCAGATTTGTTATTTGTAAATGTTTTTACCATTTGCATTTTCAGTAAAGCACATACAACTTCACAAATGACTCTTTTTTTCAGTACTAACCCGATTTCATATATATAATATTATATTAATGACACCATGAAATTCGGAAGTAATTGATATATTATTAATATAACGTCAAAAGATGAAAATTTCGATTATCCACCGAAATATAATATAAAAATGGCAAGTTTTATCAATTTATCTATTGATCGCAATATTCGCAAATGCAACTTTGCTCCATAAAAACTGCATTTGCGCATAAATTCGCCTGAATTCACTCTAAGGATTTTGCATTTGTACATATATGTTCAGGATATTCAAACATTAATAATATATAAAAATACGATCAAAATTCCTTTAAATTATTATCCATATTAGATTGAATCCCGTGTAAGAAAGAAAGCTTTAAGTATTGTGTACGTAGATAACATTTGATAAAATATATATTTAACAATAATATCTTAATTAAAGACAATGTGGTTAATTAATGGGATGGTCATAGTTTTATATATAACGAAGAGATTATATATACATATATATTAATTCTCATAAGGCATGAAATTTTAGTTAAGCGGTGAGCATCCAGGCAAAATGTTGCATGAAAACCAACAAAATATGAAGCAAAATAATTCTTATATATTATGAGTGCGGAAAGTATTATCGATAACGTAATGTTTGAACATCTGATAGGTTATAAAACAACTTACATAAAGTGCCCATCAGAGTCGTGTGCCTCACCCTTAATACGGGTAGAGATATCTTCTCTATGAAACAAGAAGTGAATTGTGAAAATACTACACCCCAAAAAATTAGTTATCTATAACTGCAACACTTATTCTGTATATGTCAAATCTCTAGAAACAAATGGAAAGTAAATAATATCTGATTGTCTACAATTGAATAAATATTAAATTAACTCTCATAATGCCTTAAAAACTTGAAATAAACATTATAGCCACATTGTCTTCTTCGACGTTTAAAAATCAGAAAGCATAACTTTTCCAAGATTTATTATGTTACTGATTAACATACCTTTAGTTTTTCAAAGTATAGAAATTTTTTTTATGATAATTGCACTGTTATTATAATTTGATTTCGTGTGTCGGTAATATATCAAAATAATGCTGCAGTTAAAATACAACGCTAATGCACATCAGCGTTATATTATTATTCCATCCCACTTTTTTGACATTTTTCTCTTAATAACGTCTATTTTTATTTTAATTCCGAAAAGTAGTTTAAAGCTTTCGTTTCACTACACATTCAACGTGATGTATAATCCAATAATGAAGTTTATCGCATTCTTACCTGTTGGTGATGGAGCTCTTCTGATGGTCGGAATCCTAAGCTTTCTCTGTGTCGAGACAAAGCTGTGGACAACTGCTGCCTCTTGCGCTCAGAAGTTGCCATTTCCTATTAGAAAATTTACTTAATCTCGCACTTTATCGTATAAAATTAATCCTTAGATGCACACATAATATAACTGTCGGAAATATCTAAATGTAACTATCTCATTCAACAAATCTTATGTTATTTTTTTTACAAAATTTATTTAAAATATTTATATTGATAAAAGGAAATGTACATCTAAGAATTAAATGTATAGTGAATAACACACGTACCTCTCCTTCAATGTTTGTCAATGTAGTAGTCATGTTATCTGCTACAAACCACTTCTGACCCTTCATGACGATGTTAGAAGGTGGCTCGTGCGTTGCACCAATATCAGCCGACCACACCATCACGTTAGCACCTCCATCGAGCTTTACGCTACGATGAAACTTGAAATTGGTTTCCAAAGTACCGGCTTTGCGAATAATTTGCCATCCGCCTACGCTTATTTCCTGTTATAAAGGTTATATTTGATAAGAAGTTGGAATTAACTTAAACGAAGCTAAAACGCACACCGCTGGATCTCCATAAGTTCTATTTATTTACCTTATTGCCCTTATTAGTAAGTTTTACGAATCGTCCTTGGGGATCCGCTTCAGTAATTTCTATGTCACCTCTAGCAGTACCTGTAACACTATATTCACTACTGCTGCGTTCTTCGCTCTCTTCCAACAAAGTGCGTTTTCGTTTGCCACCTCTGAGAGGAGTATGTCTGGACGGAGTTGTTCTAGACAAAGACGTGTTCGTCGACTGCATAGGTGTAATGTTTAATCTAGAATTGAGGTAAATTCGCATAAATTAATTATATCAATAACATCAATAAGGAGTTAACACTAATTGTTCGTGTGTTAGTTTATCAAAATGTCAATTTAACAAACTATTTCTCACTAATCCCTTCCTTTCCGTAATATCCAACAAACTCAACTTTTTTTTTAAGTAGAACCATTCGCATAGTCTATTCATTTTTGAGAAATTTATCAATGTAACAAATAAAATTTTATTGAAACAAGAGCATAAGTATTTGTTTTATTAATGGTGTTATTGAATTAACAAAATTATTTTCAATTAAGTCTTGAGGTTTTCATTCTATATATTATAATAAATTTGCATCAATTATGTTAATTAATGTGCACACTGTAAAATACATTTAGTTACATTATGAACGATTTAAATCTTAATCCAATTTGATATATTAAAATTTTATTTTTTTAAATTTGTACTGAAGATTACCTAAAACGTAAGATCGAAACATTTATCGGTATTTTTAAGTTGACATTTCAATAAATTAACTCATACACAAAAAACTAAAGTTGGCTCAATACAATCGATTTTATTCATTTTAAACTTGATATTGATTGTTTCGCATAAGTTAACTCTAGTATGTAATATTGCCCACTCAAATTTACAGAAATTATGATTTTGACTCACCTCGCCTCTTCAGTTTCGAGCAGCTTGCGATACGCAGCAATTTCCAAATCAAGCGCTACTTTAATATCCATAAGATCATGATATTCTTGTAATTGTTGAGCCATTTCATCTCGCATACGTGATAATTCCGCTTCCAGTGCAGCCAAACTGTCTGCATAACGAGAACGTTCGTTTTCTCTTGCATTCTCCATGTCCCTATCGAAAACGATTTTATATTATTTATACATTTATACATTTATATTTATACGCAAATAATATTACTTATGCAAAAATAATATATCAGAAAATTTTTTCTACTAATTCTTATATACATATATTGCCTTTTTATTTCAAAGTGAAACTCATAGTGTGGGAGTTGTGGACTTAAAGAAATTATTTTCACTTAATATAAATCTTTTTTAGACACAAAAAATTTTATAAAGAAAGATTACCTAATGCGTGTACTAAGGGCGTTGTTAGATGCTTCGAGTTCGCTGATTCTTGAATTAAGCCCTTCGTTTCGAGAGCGAGTCTGTCTCAATTCCTCGGTTGCCATGTTAGCGACTCCGCTATTACGTTGAGCATGAGATGCCAAATTCTTGATTTTATTTTCATATAAAAGCTCAATCTCGTCTCGATTAACACGCATTTGCGCCTCATGCTGTTCGCGTAATTCTTGCAAGGATTGCTGCAGTTTAGCTTCATATTGCTCCGCGAGACGACCGTCAATCTCCGATATTTCAACCTGAAATACAATTATAATATAAATTATTTCGAAGAACTAGGAATCAACGAAAAATGTTATTAAAATTGAGTTATTATGCTGACCGAAAATTTGATTTATCTTTCATCTATTTTTCTTTTTCCAGTCAGATTTAAGATTATATCGTTAATATTAAAATAATATTCATTAAGTTCTTAGAAATGACAATAAATGATTTATTTACCATAAAACACATAGATGCAAATTATAAATTTTAAATTATAAATTATAAACTTTTAAATTATATAAATTATAAACAAAAATTGATAAATATGTTATGTAACTACAATAAAATTGAATTGTTTTCAGTAAAATTTTCAAATCAATTTTTTTCATTACTTGTTAATGAAATGTTAATAAAAAAATATTTCTTAAAACTAACGACATATTTACGATAATGCAACAGGGCTTGAAAGATGATGTTGTTTCAAGTAATTACTTACTTGTCGTCTCGTACGAGTCTCTGTAAGTTCTTGCTGATAAACTTGGTCCTTGAAACTGATGTCTTCTTTGAGACTCTGAATATTGTTTTCGAGATCGATTCGCTGAAGAGTTTCTTCCTCCAGGTGCTTACGAGCATCGTCCAGCAATGTTTTCAATCGATCTATTTCCTTTTCCGAATCCCGATCCTTCTCGGCTAACTTCTTGCGCTCTGCCTGCGACTGATTGAACTGCGACTGTAAGTCACTGCAGCGCGTCTCAAATATCATTACATTTCGTTCTGCTATATGTAGATCTTTTGTTTTCTTCTCCAATCTGAAACAAACGATAAATAACGATTATATAGTATTTATTTCTAGTAGCATTATATCTTTCATCTTTAAATTTCTGCTATATTTCTACTATATTTCTTTAACAACCAATTGTAACTTTTGGCAGCTATTGTTTGTCAAGATTGTCTTCATATCCTTACATGAACGAAAGAATGCAACGTGTACGTTCGATTGTATAACAATACAAAAAAATATAATGAGCACTCTATTAACTCTCTTAAATAATGCCTTGTTTGTTGGCTAAGTAAATATGCTAATCAAATTGGACAAATTACTAATAGAAAATGAAGTGTTTCTGATTCAGATAGTTTTAACCCTGAAACGCAGAAACAAATTTTTTCGAGAATTTATGTATAAGATCGAATTTCTTATTAATGGATTTCTGCGAAGGTTCTTTGAACATAAAATTCTCAGAACATCGTCTTGCTATCCTTGGCCTACTGCCTTAAAACAGGCAACATCGAATGATGCTACATCTATTCTCGTGAAATAACACCTTTTCCCGCTATGGTATCCTCAGAAAGTATCATAGATAGCTTCATCACAAACCTTGCTTTACATTAAGTTAAAAAACGATTCAGGAGTTGAAAACGAGGAATAACAGAAAGAAGAATAACAGTCAAAAGATACATTATAAACCGGATTTAATTTCCATTAAATTTAATTTCTCGTAGAATCTGTACTTTCGTCCCGCGAATTCCTGTATTTTATAGATAGTTTGCAGACAATGTGCTAATTTTGCAAGATATAACGTGCAAGTTCATTACGGTGTAATCGGCATTATGATTCAAATTCGTTTTCATTTACGATATACCGCCGTGCCGGTTCGCGAGGAGGAAGCCGCGCGCCGGGTAGGAGAGAGCGTGCGCTTCTATTTCAAGCGATGTACGACCCACATTGAGAATTTTATTTTCTGCCATGGTGGCCCGGACGTGTCTTTAATATTCGTCCGTTCGCCTCCGTCCCTCACCCAATTTTCAAGGCAAGAAAGAACCGTGCGCTCCGGAAAGCTGCATCACTTTACGCTCACTCGCGAAAAGTGCGTCGGCTGTTAATTAACTTATGGCGACCTTAGGCCAATGATCGTTCTCCAACGGTATCCAGCTGGAAATGTGTGAACCTTCTTCGATCAAATAAGATTTGCTGCAAACTGCGATTATTTGTTATGACGGTTTATAATTAAATATTAAAACAGACATATCTTTCGTAACATAATTATATATTCATACAATTATTAATAACTTAATAGCAACTATGTATATATCTTCGTAGTAAATGTAATAATTAGTCGGCGGTATACCAACCTTGTCTTGGGCCAGCTGGTGACGTACGGCGTTGATCGTACAAGAAAAACAAAAGGGTTAACAATGTGACAAAAATATGACTTTAGAATCTATTATTTTCTTTCTATTGTATTTTTGCGATGTATAGTTCACGAAGAGCAACCTTGAGCGCATCTTCCCATATCTTTCAAATGATTTACAAACCATAACCTTTTGTTTTTCTTGTACGATCAACGCCGTACGTTACCAGCTGGCCCAAGACAAGGTTGGATACCACTGCTCTAAACAATTGCCAAGGAAGGGAGTCTCGAGGTTTATATGGTTCTTAGCAGGAGGGTGATGGTCGTCGCCCTCTAGCTCTCTCGCGAACTAATCGGTACAAAATGCGAGACGACGAGACGCTTCAGAAGACTTGTAACGAAATGTGCATAGTTATGTACGTGACAGTGTCACGGGTCAAGTTTAGCCGCGGATCGCTGGAATTTTGTAATTTTGCATAAATACTCGCGCGATAATTAATTAAGACATTGAAAGCGTTCAGTCTTCAATTTTATATGTATATAATATATACATTATATAAACAATACAAAAATATATAATATGTTATACATAAAATTTTCTTTTATATTTTTATATGTAGGTACTTGTCTAATAAATATATAAATATTTTTCACAAGTTGTGTATATGATAACTATCTCATTAAAAAATTAACATCGTAATTCTAAAATAAAATTAAAAGGACATAGTTAGATGTCTCCGATTTATAAGTAATGCTAATTTTATACGATTCTGAATTTATGCTGATCTCTCCTTCTTTCCAAAAGTACAGATCCTATAGGACTTTACTCAGACGAGAAGGGCGACACGTATAGTATATACTGTTGAACTTTAAATCGTGGCCCTCGCACGACTCCGAAAATGGCGAGGTTTTACGCACGCCTGCTCGCGTGCAACATCGGCCTCACGCGACGCCTGACATCGCTAAAATGGCTGACATCGGGCGCGTGATGTCATCCACGATTTCACGTGACACCGGCTTTCAAAGACAGCAATCGATTCGCGGCCCTCAAGAATTTCGCATTTGCTCAAAAACGTGCGCCCTCCAGGAGTCCTTCTCGCGACTTATCCGTGACGCTTGGAATTCAGGATTATTGGCATTGTTGGCCTCGAAGTACAGATACGACCGTCTTGCGCTTTCATGCGTATCGCTGAGCACACAAGGAATGCGCGAATGTATTACTTCATCGATTATTTGGATCACGGATTTGAACAGCGACGTTACTACACTTTGAGTGAATAAAAAAATTGAACGATATTTTTCTCAGGAAAATTCGGAATCTCTCTCATTGTCAAAAATGCAAAATACGAAGTTTAAGGAAGAAGTTTTAGATAACAGTTTAAGAGAACCGATAATACTTCATTTTTTGACGAATTTATAATTATTTTTTTCTATCGAAAATGTTACTTCCATTTTTTTACATTTTTAATATTTATTATTTTTAAAAGTTCAAAGTATAAAGAAAAATTCAAATTGCTTTAAAAATTTTTGGTGAAGAAATTGCGATATCTTGAAGGCAATTATCATTAAATTATCATTAAATCTTCTTAAATATTGATATTAATATTCTTATAAATATTAATATTCTCAAGAATTCATTAAATATTCTTAAATGATTAAGTTTTCTATTAGAAGACGCTCACGTCATACGCTACAATCTTTTTTACTCATTCAAGGACCACTGAATTTGCGGACGCTATAAGCACCGCAGAAAAAGAGAAAGATAGAGAGAGGGAAAGAGAGATAGAGAGAGAAAGAGACGTTAAGTACCGTCTGTGCATAATGAAATACCGTATTCCCAGCAATTTTGGTCGCTGACACAATTCCTTTCACAAAGATTCCAGAAGTAAGTAACGGAGGCGAAAGAATCGCGATATAATCGATATATAATGTGAATAACAATAAAAATAAGCGACGGTAAAGTCATGATGCTATCTCATTGAAAGACTGCAGCATTATCATCGAAAACACCACGATCTTTAACACGAAAATGAGCTTTATGACCGTGACTATCTCTCAGGGACTCTCAACCTGACTTCACAAATAATCCGTTTTAATCGATGTACAATTAATGTACACTGGGAGACATAAACATCTTAATATGTGAAGTTTCATTCATATCGAGTTAGATACGGACTGAATGCTTCCTGTCTAGATATTCGCGCGTCATCCGTGACTGTTGATTCGAGAAATGCTATTTCTAAGTAGCTGGAGATGATATTTAATTTGACACATCGATAATCGAATAATAATAATATTAATATCACAAGTTTCGCAAATAACTGAAGTTTTAAATAACGAGTCCGATATTTAAACATGTTAATATTTAAATAGAAAACACTCGTTTCGAATACGCCCCTATATGCGGGCAACCTCATAATACATATCAAGATATTTATCATCAAGTATACAAATAAAATCAATATCTATCGATCTTCATGCAATAATAATAACATTGTTTAATAATATCTGTTTTGGGAAGGAAATGCATGTTGAAAATGCAGACAAAGTTTGAGATTATATATACTAAGCCCTTTTCCCCCACCAATCCTACTCTACTCACGTAAGTTGGGCACGGCAGATGCGTTATGGGGAATGGTGTGTTGCAATCGTAACGGTATAAACCGGAGTAAGTCGGGAAATATCAGCCGAACAAGTTCGTAATCTATAGTACAACTTCGTAATCTACAGTAACTATAGAAAATATGGCACGTGCAACGATAATTACTCAGAACGCGGAATTATCGCTTAGGCGTACATACAATAATTATATGTAACATGAATTTGACACGAATAACGAAAAGCGTTAAATTACTGAATCTTCTTCTTCTTCGTCTACGCCCGATTTTATTAAAATCTCACGGACGGCTGAGAAAATTACTTTAATAAATTACTGTTTTTTTTTATTAATTTATCCTTTACAAAAGACAGAATAAATCGTTCATTGCGTTTTCCATCCATTCTTTACACACCTCGTTACCTCCTCCTTCAATTTCCTGTAGTGAACAAACATAAAAAATCGAACGACCCTGTTCCTAATGATCGGTATACTCATAAAGCGAGAGATCTGATAATTGTGGCGGAGGAGGAGGAGGAGGGTGCAAGCTCATCGTGGAAAAATTTCACTCTCGCGCGGGTCGAAGGATCGATCGATCGTTTCAACGACGGAACAAAATGCGCCCGATGTATAATCCCTGTTAAGTCGCGGTCGTACGTGACGGCAGGATCAGAGTCAATGTTTTCAGGTCAGGTGATAACGCACCGGCACTGACATCACCGCCGCATAGTAAACGTGACGCAACCACTCGTAGTAACGTCACGTTGTGGAGAGCCCCGACTTCTTTCATGCTTCTCCGAGGCCGGGCGGCGCGGGCGCGAACGCACTCACGCCGAAAATTATTTCCTCTTTATATAAACGTTAAGCTTTCTTCTCTCGTCCTTTCCAGCTGCGCACTCTCTCTCTCTCTCTCTCTCTCTCTCTCTCATTCCTCCACAATTTTTCGTGTTTTCTGATTCTGCTTCCCCTCGCCACGAGTCCGGCGGATAACCAATCTTGTTGCATTGTTCTGGAGGATCTTAACTCTGTTGACAAACACGCTTGACAAAAATATACATGATGCATCGATGAGCAACTGCTCGTTAATCTAATCCGAAGATCGGCGACAGACATCAATAGATATCGATTCTTTTATTCTCTCTTTGGATTAAATGAGATTTATACTCGCGACCGTCATATAATCTACATTACTGCCTGGCACGAAAATAAGGTGAATGATAACGCGGCGGCACAAACGTATCGATCAGGACTAGTTGAGAACGTTCAGCGCGCTTTGTAACACGTTGCTAGATTGAAAATTTTCGTTTACTAAATTTTACTTTTATTCACTTCTTGAATATAAATTGTATGCGCAAAATATGGAATATAATATTGGATAAAATACTCCGTAAATACGGAATCTATAGATAGATTACATGTTTTCGTAAAAATTATTTAAGAGATATTACATATCAACATTGAGCAGTAAAAATAATCGTACTGTCTGTGATGATATCAAATAGACACATATATATCACATGTTTTGTAGGGTATTTGCAATCTCCAAGTAATGCCTATCTGATAATTCCCCAAGAATTATCAAGTCAAGGAATATGAGAGAATGACTATAATATTCAATGATCTCATAATTCAAAGTAGACTGAAATACAAATACAAATAATCATAATTCAAAGTAGACTGAAATACAAATACAAATAAGCAAATTATAGCCTAGCCTTGTGAATATATAATTATATAAAATAGAACGTTTTCTCTGTCTTCAGAACGAATGCTAAAATAATACTATAATGCTAGATTAATTTGTGATTTTTCTATTAAGAGAATTATGCATATCTTAAATTAAAATACAAAGACTCAATAAATATAACCAGATTTGAATTCTTGCATCATCGGTACTTGGAAAGTAGCATAAATTTTTACTAGATGAGTCATTATATACTCATTTCATGATATACCGAGTGTACATATTCCATTTTGTAATACAAAATTAGTCAAGATACGAAATTAAGAATTCTGTTTTTTTTTTGCCTTGAAACTCGTGAATCATAAAAAGATATCAGTCCAATCTAAAAATACCGTCGAAAATAAGAGGCTCTAATAATACACAACATAATTATCGTCGGAGCCACGCAATCTTCTTATTGTAAATTTTCTTTACGCATGCGTGATCGAATAGAAAATACAAGATAATCGGGGAAGGGAAGGGACGTTCAGTTTGCATAGAATCGTTCAAAAATAGGGAAGGGTCGAAACGTCGGAGCTAGGTGTTTAAAATACGGAGTTGTATTAAGGTTATGAACACGCGTGGACGCGCGATTGCGCACATATTAATTTTATTCTGCGCATGTGTCAGAATAAGAAGTGCTAATGAGAATTGAGACTATCGAAAGAAAAATTGAATATATAGCTCAGTACCGATGATTCATGAATTAAAGAATTTCACATTGCGGCTGTACTCTCCACAACCAAGCTCGTATTTCTCCAAGTCTCGGACTCCATTGTATTCAAATCCGAGTTTCACTACTTTGCCGACTGCAGTGCTCAATTGCGTGCATCCATCCAATGATCGACAAATAAAGTTCTAATTTATCCTTTTACATTATTTTTTTCACAGCATCGTCAGGAAATAAGATACTCGGATGCTCGATCGCGTTGATCAATATTTGTCAATAACGATCCCGATTAGTGCCATCTAACTTTCCTATCTATTTTGCAAGTAAGAGGCAACATGGTTAGATACGTAAAAACGCTTATCACTTACCCATTTTACTCAGAGTGTGTGTGTGTGTGTGTGTGTACGTAAATGAAACGTATATTGCTGAACTTACTTGCTCTTGAGATCCTCGTTATCGTCCCAGAGACGTTTGGTGTCGATCTCCAGCTTGGCGCGTTCCCTGGCAGTCTCATCGAGCAGCTTTCGCGCGTCGGACAGCTCGTGTTCGTACATGGCCTTGATACTGGAGACCTCCCGGGTGACGGTCTCCTGAGTAGTCTGCATCTCCCGGGTCAGCCGGGAGTTCTCGGTCTCCAAATGACGCACCTTTTCGATGTAACATGCCAGACGATCGTTGAGATTCTGTAGATCCTGCTTCTCCTGCAGCCGGGAGTATCGGGTTGGGCTAAGCGGGCTGCCGGGTCGCCGGCCGATCGGCGTCGATGTATTCGGTGGCGGCGACTGAATGCTGG